TTGACCGAGATATCGATTATCGTACATTCACCTAGACGAGACAAAGCTCCTCGACCTGACCATATGATCAAATAATCTTCACGTTCTTTTCTAAAATTAGCGAACGCATATCGTGAAAGAAATCAGCCAGTGAGATTGCACGCTAGAACGCATTGTATCAATCCATCAAATGAAGAGCAAGCTGAACTTCCCGAATCACCAATAACAACTTCACCATTGAAAGTAGGCAATTTCGTTATGCGAAAGTGATCAGAGTCTTTTTTCAGTTCTTATCAGATCCAGTTGGATGAAAAGAACTTACACAATTGTCATATTTATTCATAAAAACCTGTAAACTGGCTTCAGGTCAGTTACCACGATGATCAATGCAAACCAATGCCTTCGTAAATATTTAGTTCTTCACGTACAATTTCAATACGCTACTAATTCCACTCTTGAGGTTAATTCACTGCACTTCATTACGAACGAGTTCACCGATCCAGTGCGGCAAATTAAAATAAGGTTTTTTTTCATCCCATCACTCTAAATTCCTAAACTATTAAGAGATATTCAATCTTATTCCTCCCACCACATCGTGCCAGGTTTCTGTTCGAATCAAAATCCAGAGGCATTTCTCATTCGCACAGTTGGGACTGAGGTTCCCAATCAGCCAGGTACACCAAACCCGGCCTCGAACATTGACACAATCTCTGTTCCAGCGGGAATTAGCCCCGTATATTGGGGATTACACCAGTCGTATTGCCACGTACATGCGATCATTACGCACATAATCATTTCGTCCATGTGGTTTCGGCCCGCCTAGCAGCGATCGGGGAGCAAAATCGGGCAATCCCCACGCATCAGTTTTGCCCACAATTGTGCACCTGTTTGATTCACTCATTACAGAACTCCAGTCATCCGGCCTCGGTCGATCCCACACCCCACGCTCGTCCTCATCTTCTGGGAACGGTTTCAATATTCGGGACAAATTTCGGCCGCTCATGGTTTGATCGATGAGTACAAACTGTATGGAACAGCGAAATGGCCATTGCAAACTGTCATCGTATTCGCCTGGCAGTAGCTGAATAAAAATTCCCATATGAAATGTGGTAAATTCAATTTTTGCACGAAAACGATATCCCGGTTCGCCCAAATAAAACGGTTCACTCCAAAAACCACACTCGGCAGCTTCGATAGCACAATAACTGTTGATAGTCCAAATGTAAGCATTACCTTGTTTGTTCACATTCTCTAACGAGGAGCAACCTTTTACCGGGGCGACATTTTGTTTCTCTAAACACCGGAAATTCTTTGACGAAGATGTTGCGCACAGATTAGAATGGATCGGAGCATGAATCTCGTATGCTTCTTCCACTTGTTGCATGCAACCATTCTCTATGTGCGGTGAGAAAACTGGTCCGTATGTTTGTACAGAAGGTGAATTATGTTTCTGCTGCCAAGCTTCCGTTTTCACGGTATTCGTACGATCCGCACTACTGATGGACCAATCGGGATGAACAGCTGCAGGGCAGTGCACAAACGTTGAACTCACTGGATAATTGTTCGGACAAGGATTGTAGCGCTGATTGTAACAGCGAAGACACGGCTGTTGTTCTTGTTCCACCACTTTCAAATCAACAGAATGGTCATTTATTAACTTTTTCATAAACTCATGCGCGCATGTCTTGCATTGTGAATTGGGATAGATTGGGTCCAAAATAGAGGGCTCTATTCGGACCGACCTCGAAGGTAATCTTGCGGAGACTGTGGGACATGGCTTGATTGTACCAGGCTGTCTGTCCGCCGGATCGAAATCATTTCGAGCAGAGTTTTGCAGTAGAGTGTACAGCTTAATCAGATCGTTACATAACTCTTGTTGCCGATCGACCATATTCTTGAATGCCTCATTTTGTCGAGCCAGTTCAAACAATTTAGAACAAATATGACAGTCTTCGCTTTTCGATTTCACTTCAGATGTTTGTGGATTCTGATCCAATTCATTCGCATTTACTTCGTTATACTCCATACAGCCAGGTGAAAACGCATGATCGGTTTGCGGATAGGTAGCCTATTCCGAGATCACACGTCTGACCCAGTCTAACACACACTATGAACCCAGCATGCTTTCATGACTGTTTAAAGTGTTTCACATGACCAGCACGTGACTCGGTCGAACGCACTTGTGGCACATTTGCAGTTCTCCCAGATATGTAAAACGTCTTGTTTTTCATTGGTTGGTAGATTTTGTCCCATTACTGGTTCACATGTTTGGGATATTTCTGACGGTTGTCGGAGTAAACGATTGGATGGAATGAGAATATCGAACGGATTCGATAAATAGAAATATAGTCCGAAGACAATCGGTTACACATAATGACTGAGTTACTGTGGCTGGCTAAATCGATCGTCCTAGATGATTATTCTGTCTGTATCAAAATGAAGCTCACGAAATGTTTGACGTGACTGATACCAGTAAAGTGGGGTTTGAATGCCGGTTTTAATATAATATATAAGTAATTATATATATATATATATATATATATATATATATATTGTAACGCGAAATCAGAAGACGAGTTTGCTGGACAATATCAATTCGTGACACACTAAACAAATGGTCAATACAGATAATATGCACAATACGAATTTACAGTCAAGTACGTTTCACGGGTTCACGGAGGATTTCTTGTCCGTTAGTAAATCAATAACAGAA